TCTGAAGCTGGAATTAAAATTTCTTAATTTCTGTCAAGTTAACACCTTTTGTATTTCTAACAAAACTTGTAGAGGCGATTTTTCTCTTTCTAATGGTGGTAAAATCATCAAAATTAGCCTTATGGTTCGTGAGATATTCCTATTTTTGTCTTTATGATAATATGAAATTTTCTTTACAAATCTGCAAAGAAATTTCATATAGCCACAAAAACAAAAATAAGAATATCTCATGAACCATCAAGCCAATTATGATGAGTTTACCACCATTAGAAAAGGAAAAGAAAAATCGCCTCTACAAGTTTTGTTAGAAATACAAAAGGTGTTAACTTGACAGAAATTAAGAAATTTTAATTCCGGCTCCAGATTATAGATACTGTATTAATTGTTTTTATTATATTTAATATCCTCTCAAGTATATATAGTAATTCTTTCCATCTCTCACGAATTACTAATTATAATGTATTTAACCAATAAATTAAATGTATTTTATGTTTGACATGTGTAAATACAATCTAATTTTTTTTAACTTTTATTTATATAAGAGTAAAGTAACTACGGTTTCGCTAATACATATCCCTACCCAACTTAGAATCATAGTCTTAAATTCTGACGCATACGTACATAATTTTAATTATATCAAATAATGTATATACGTATATACAATTTAATTAGCCAATGTTTTCAAGTTCTTCGAGTTAAGTTCGATAAAAAAAAAAAAAAGAAAGAAAAAAAAACTATGTAAAAATAAATCAATGTAAGAAACAGATGGTTCATTTTTAAATAATTACAAACTTTTATAATATTAAACTCGTATTATTTTCTAATTATATAATAAGATTTAGAACATAGTAATTATAACAGGAGACAGCCATGCCAATTAACGATCTATAGTAATATACCTATGGCCAGAGATGCTTATGATTTTCCTTTTGCTTTTTGTGGAGGAAGACCCATTGTGACAAGAAATTCGACAGCCCGAGTATATTCCCTATTTTGTTGCTCTGAGGACCATCCGAGCTCTTTGCTCATAATTTCAATGATGTGTGGAAGTGACTCAAGAGTTGCTCGAACATCAAGGAACGCCAGGCGTGTACGACGCGCGATAACATCCTAACGGATAAATAAATAGGTATTAGACAAGCGACTCAAAATAAATAATTTATGCAACGAACATGAACATGGAATACGTACCACGAGAGTGCAAGCATATTCTCGACGGACAGCATAAAGAACTTCTGCATCAATATATGGATATAATGGGTTTAATCTGCAGCCAAAAGCTGGCCAACTCATGCCAGTGGGACGTGCTAATGCGGCAACAGCCCATGCACGATCGCCATAACTATTAGCTAAATGTTGTGCAACCTGCGAATTGTGCAAACTAGTCAATGTTGGATAATACTTCTACTATATAATTCATAGATTAACTTTAATCATCGATTAATACTTCAGTATCTAATTTGAATTGTTGAATGAGCTTTATGAACATTGTTGGAGAATATCCGTGAGACCCAATAAGTTTAATTTTTTCAGTACGACATTCATTCAGAGGTTTCAGTCCTTTGAACAGATAAAGTATATTATGAAGATTTTTTAAAATGATAAAACAAATATACCATGTAATAAATGAAAACTAACCCAATACTTTAATAGCTGTATCGATAGTTTCTTCTGCCATATTTCTATATGTTGTCCACTTTCCACCTGCAACGGTGATTAAATTAGAGGGGCTAACATTAATCATGTGACTCCTCACTAATTCTGAGGTATTTTTTGCGCCAGGATCACGCACTAAAGGGCGAATTCCAGACCAAGCAGCAAGAACATCACTGCGACGAACTTCAATATCTATAAATAAGATCTCGATATCATGAAGATGTGATTTTCATGAATATGTAGTTGTAACAAAATTATAACAAGGAAACAAACCAGGACTTAAGTATGTTCTAATTTCATTAAGAATCCATTGTATTTCTTCTTCTTTAGGCATTGGAGTATATGTCAACTCAGTGGGTGAATCTGTTGTCCCAGCAATTGTAATTCCTTCCCAAGGTAAAAAAAATATCACTCTCCCATCTGATGTAGAAGGATCAATCATGCCCATTTTTCGAGGGCTATAATAGTTTGGTAGGACGACATGAACGCCTGCGGAAGGCGCGACAATGTTGTCACACATAGGATTATCCATAGAACGAATACCATCTATACAATGAAATTTTAATTAAATGCTAAATTGGACACATATTTTAACAGTTAACCGCGTTCTTGACTAATATAGCCTAATACGCGTGTGATGTTAATTTACCTGTAAATGCACCAGTAGCATTTACTACACCTTTAGCTTTGATGTCCCATTCATCACCATTCAAGTTATCTCTAACCCGTGCTCCATTAATTTTGCCATTATCATCTTTCAATAATCGCAAAACCTCCACGTGATTTACAACAACTGCGCCATGTGAAACGGCGGACAATGCAAGAGCGACATTCATCCGTGCATCATTGTGTTGACCTGAATGAATAAAAAAAAAAAAAAAACACAACTAAGTACCATTGTTTTTTTTTTCGTTTGAACAATTATGAGACCAACGTGTTGTTGGGACTAATGTAAAGGTAGCATATAGTAAAACAATACAAAGTTAATTTATCCTAACACAAAAAAGTATGCTAGTATTCTTTAAATTAGTGTTTTGGGCGAAGCTGTTTCAAAATTCGAAGCACTTTTCCAGAGAGAAATTTCAATTTCGCTCTATAAGTTCGAAACCCTCTGAAACTGGTTTCGCACAATTCGATCTCGCAAAATTGGGTTTCGCCCGAAACACTACTCTAAAAGCCTTTAAAAAGGGGATAATTAACAAAGTGCCAATTTTTTAATACTACATACTACCTCATGTTGGTCCCTTGTAGCGATGGAAGTATAAATTTTAACCAACCATCATAATATACCATAGCACCAACGAGTTTCTCCTTTTTTAACCACGGGAAAGCTTCAATTGCTTTAGTACTAGACAAGAAATGGGAGCTTTCCATAGATTCGCCGCCTGCAAGGAAATCGTAGGCTTTTGAACCAACCCAAAAATATGGAACTTGCCACCACCTATATTAAATATAAAATGAGCCATTTCAATATTTGAATTCTCGGTTATAATTCAAAAACCATATATGTCGGCCATACTTGTAAATCGGCAATAGGATAGGTAATGGGTAGCTTATATAAGGGGCAATATGTAAAAAAATGGCACGTTCATGAAGAGCTTCTTTTACAAGCTTGTATTGGCCATAATCGAGTTCTTTAAATGCTTTCTCAAGATATCGAACGCCTCCATGAACAAGTTTTGTTGACCGTGAAGAAGTCCCAGAAGCGAAATCATCTCTCTCTATCAATGCAACTTTTAATCCTCTTGTTGCTGCATCAAGAGCTGTACCTGTACCGGTAGCACCACCACCTACAATCAATAGATCAAATGGTTCTTTTTCTGGTAAACCTTGCTTGCTTGAATTTTTAAGAATGTTCAACATTTCTCTCCTTGATGGTGGGACCCATGAAGTATGTAATTCATTATCTGAAGAAATTGCTGATTGAGCTTGATTATACGCGTCCGCATATGTCTCTGACACTAAAAGCTGTGGCTTAATAATAGATAAACGTTGTGTTTGCTGTCTTCGAATTCTCTTTGAATCTTCTGGATAGAAATAGTAGGTGGAAACACCACCAACAACAAACGCTATACTTGTATAAGCTACGCGCTTTTTAGTAAAAATCTTCCACATTATTAATCTCGTCCTCGTAATTTTACGTAAAATTAAAATAGCAGATAAAAGAAAGTAATTATAATTTTAATATAAAACGTATTTATAACTGATTTGATTATATCTGATGATTTTCATGTAACTATACCGATATATACATAACACTTAGCATTATTGTTACACGGCTTTTATATTATTTATTTATAGTATTTTTTAAACGAAAGACTTTAACATTTGAGGCCTCGTGGGATCTCGCGTTTCACAAACTTTTATTAGAAGCGATTCTGATAACATTAATACGTAATACGGAATGATTTTAAGATTTAAATATTACATAAGAACTTTAAATTTTAGCCAATCGCTAATCAACGTTTGAAATTCTGAAATTCATGATTTTATCACATGTTCGTACGTAACTTTTGTAAAAAAGCCGTTCGATTTATAGATGGCATACGTAACACCAACTTTTATTCGCAGGGTGGCATCACCTTACATTCGTTTATCTCTAGTCGCAATTCTTACTTGCACCTTTTTTACCGGCTGGAGTTCGTTTCTTTTCAAACAATCAAACGTCTTCTTCGAGCTTATTAAGCATTTCTCACGACTTTTCTACCCTTTGTAAGCTTGAAACAAGTGTTCGAAAATACTCTTCAAACATGGCGTGGTTTTGTTCTGGTAATAAACCGAAAGAAATAAAAGTAGTTTCTGCTTTATTTTTATGTACAATAACTAAAGACGTTATTCGTTATGACAGCAAGCAATAATAGTGGTTTGGTGAATAATTTGAAGAAAGCTGGAATATTTCAGTCTGAACGGGTTGAGAATGCTATGAAATCGGTTGACAGAGGAAAATATGTGAATTACGATCCGTATCGCGATTCACCTCAACAAATAGGCTATGGAGCTACTATTTCTGCGCCGTAAGAGTAGATCGAAAAAATTTTAAAGTTGTTATCAAATCTACTTTTGGATTGATGGATCAAATAACTTTAATATTTTATTCAAGTCATATGCATGCACACGCTTTGGAAAACTTGGCACCTTTTTTGCAACCTGGTATGAAAGGTAGGTAAATGTATATTTGAAACGCGTCACTTTTGATGAAAATTTTATTTATGTTTGAATTTTCTGGAATTTATAATGTTGTGCAGTGTTAGACGTTGGATGCGGTTCTGGATATTTAACTGCTTGCCTGGCAGAGATGGTAACTCGTTATTATAAATTATAACAGTTATCATTTGATATGTTTATTTAATATCAGTTGAAATATGCTTTAAAAGGTTGGACCAGAAGGCAAAGTCGTCGGTATAGACCATATTCCTCAACTCGTGAAATTGGCTACAGATAATGTAATGAATGATCGACCGGAACTTTTGGAATCCAAAAGAGTGATATTTGTACTTGGAGATGGCAGAAAAGGATATCCAGAAGAGGCGCCTTATGATTGCATGTACATCTTACCCTGCCTATCTATGGTTTTATTTTTGTTAATTAACGTTTATTTGGATTAATGTCCGTTATGGAATCGAATAGCCATGTTGGAGCTGCCGCAGAAAAGATGCCTCAAGATTTGATTGATCAACTAAAATCACCCGGACGGTACGTTCGTATTTCGTATCACTATTATTCTTGACATATGAATATTGACGTTGAAATCATTTAAATATTCTTATAGGATATTTATTCCAGTGGGAAGTAATAGCCAATATATTTATCAAATTGACAAGGATAATGATGGAAATGTTACAAAAAAATCTTTAATGGGTGTCATGGTATGACATTATACTACTATGCTAATTATTATTATTTTATTTATTTATTCATATCATTTATTTCATTTATTTACATTTTTTATAGTATGTTCCACTTACTGACGCTCAGAAACAGTTAAGAGGAGAGTGAATAAGTTGTCATCTAAATTTTGTTTCTCTTTGCTGCTAGTATTTGATAGCCTTATACTTAAGATTTATAAACATGTACAATGATTTGCAAGTTTTATATTGACTATATAAAAGTATTTAATCATCTATAAAATTTCGTTGAGGTTTAGCAATTTTCGGCAAATAATGTTTGGTGTGACAAATAGTGTAGATATCGGTATAGCAGGGTTGTGAATAGATAAGTCAATAGACACAATAGACAGTCTACAGCAGGGACCCGGAAAAATTTGGAAATAAATTTTTCCAAATTTTTCCAAATTTTTGGCCTTAATTTTGGTATTTCCAAATTTTC